CCCCTGTACTCAGCGACCTCCACCCCCCCTCCCCCACCCCACAGCAAGCAACTGTGATCCGGGATGGGGACAAGTTCCAGATCAACGCGGACCAGCTTGTGGTGGGCGACCTGGTGGAGATGAAAGGCGGGGACCGAGTGCCAGCCGACATCAGGATCCTCCAGGCGCAGGGCTGCAAGGTGGACAACTCGTCGCTGACTGGAGAGTCTGAGCCGCAGACCCGCTCGCCCGAGTGTACCCACGAGAGCCCCCTGGAGACCCGCAACATCGCCTTCTTCTCCACCATGTGCCTTGAGGGTCTGTGAGGCCCCTGCCCGCCCACCCTCTCCAAGCCAACCCCGCTGCCTGCCCTGCCCCTCTTTGGCCCGTACTGAGCCCCACCGCCGCACCCCCTTCGGTTCCCGCGGCGGGCACCCCCCTCTGCCCGGCCGGCCCTGAGGTGCCCTGTTGGCCCCGCTGGCAGGCACAGCCCAAGGCCTGGTGGTGAACACAGGTGACCGCACCATCATCGGGCGCATCGCGTCCCTGGCATCGGGAGTAGAAAACGAGAAGACACCCATCGCTATTGAAATCGAACATTTTGTGGACATCATCGCAGGCCTGGCCATCCTCTTCGGCGCTACATTTTTTGTGGTGGCCATGTGCATTGGCTACACCTTCCTTCGGGCCATGGTCTTCTTCATGGCCATCGTGGTAGCCTATGTGCCCGAGGGGCTGCTGGCCACTGTCACGGTGAGTGGGGGAGACGGAAGAGAGGTGCAGAGAGCTGGGAGGCTCGTCCATCTGTCTGTTTGTTCACCCAGGATTGCCTCCATCATCTCTGGCCGTCTCTACCCACTCACCTCCCCCACCACGCACCTTCCCTCAGCTATCCTCCCTACCCCCCATCCCTCCACCTACCCATCCGTTCAGCAACCACTCACCGAGGCCACTCTGGGCCATACCGTATACTGAACGCTGAGGACTCACAGGTGAACAGGCCGCATCTTTGACTGGAGGAGGCTGAGGTCCAGCGTGGGCAGCCCTCAGCAGTCAGCATCCAGAGCAAGGCCAGCCCCAGGGGAGGCTCAGAGGATGTTTGTTTTCTCGGTGTGGTTGTGTTGATGAGAACTTACAGAACCTCCGCTCGGGCAGCTTAGTGAGGGGCCTGGCTATGTTCCTCTGGGCCGATTGGGGAGGCATCCCAGGTGGCAAGCACAGGCTGAAGAAAACACTGAGGCAAGAAAAGCATGGGTTTTGCGGAGGGATGCTGTGTACATAGTACGGTGGCTGGGGTCAAGGCTCCCTGCGCTTCTCACCCCTTCTGGCAGGTCTGCTTGTCCCTGACAGCCAAGCGGCTGGCCAGCAAGAACTGTGTCGTCAAGAACCTGGAAGCAGTGGAGACACTGGGCTCCACATCAGTGATCTGCTCTGACAAGACAGGGACCCTCACTCAGAACCGCATGACTGTGTCCCATCTCTGGTTCGACAACCACATCCACACGGCTGACACTACGGAGGACCAGTCAGGTGTGGGGGTGGGAGGAGACGGGGCTGGGGCAGGATCTGCTAGATGGTAGACTTGGAAGGGAGCTCTGAGGTTCCTGAAGGCAGCCTGGGGAGGGCTTTGCATGAATGGAGAAGGGGTCCTTCCCGATAGGGGAGAGGGTCTATGAAGCTGCAGGTCTGCGAAGCGGCTTGGTATCGGGGGTCCTAGGAAACTCAATACTGCGTCTGAAGAGAAGGCTCCGTCCAGGGGCATGAGGAGAGGTTTGGGTCCCACCCAGGTCTGGGAGGGGACCCTGTCCTGAATCTAGAGGGAGGGGCTCGGTTCTGGTATGGGAGAGAGCTGCTCCGGGCCTGGGGCCCGCGCGGAGCCCCCTCCCGGCCCCAGCCCGGACGCCTGGCCTCCAGGGCAGACGTTTGACCAGTCTTCGGAGACCTGGCGGGCGCTATGCCGCGTGCTCACCCTGTGCAACCGCGCTGCCTTCAAGTCCGGCCAGGACGCGGTGCCGGTGCCCAAGGTGAGACCCCGGGGGACTCCGGGGGATCCCGGGAGCCTGGTGCAGACAGGTTCGCCCCTGACACCGGCCCCCGCTTCCAGCGCATAGTGATCGGGGACGCGTCCGAGACGGCGCTGCTCAAGTTCTCGGAACTGACGCTGGGCAACGCCATGGGCTACCGCGAACGCTTCCCCAAAGTCTGCGAGATCCCCTTCAACTCCACCAACAAGTTCCAGGTGTGCGCCCGCCGCGCCCGGCCCCGCCCACGGCCTCCCCCCGCCCACTTCGGGCCACCCCCACACGCAGCGCTGGCCTATCGCGGGGCTTCTCTCTCAGTTTCCGCCCTCTCCATAGCCAAACCCCACCCACACCTCCCGCCCCGCCCACAGCCGCTGCCCACCTATGGGCAGGCCACACCCACAGTCCCTTAGCGGGGGGCTCACCGCCAGCTCTTAGGCCTTCCGTGGGGTAGCTCGCAATCCAAATTCCACCCCAGCCCATCTCCGACCCTAATTCTGTCCCTTCCCGGCGCCCAGGCTCCTTACTGCGCCCCTAACCCTCATCCCCCACCAAGGACTTGCTCAGCCCGCAAGCCCCTCACCCCCAGCCACGCAGTACCCTCCCAAAGCTCTACCCGCGGCGCCTTCGAGCCGTCAGCCCCGCCCTTCTCCCAAGCCCCGCCCCCTTGCCCGCCTCCTAGACGCCGTCCACTTCCTCGCCCGCAGCTGTCCATCCACACACTGGAGGACCCGCGGGACCCCCGGCACGTGCTGGTGATGAAGGGCGCCCCCGAGCGCGTGCTGGAACGCTGTAGCTCCATCCTCATCAAGGGCCAGGAGCTGCCGCTGGACGAGCAATGGCGTGAGGCCTTCCAGACTGCCTACCTTAGCCTGGGAGGCCTGGGTGAACGCGTGCTTGGTGAGCCCCCCAGGGCTCGGTGAGCCCCCACAGTAGATGGCGAACCTGTGGGCGAGGAGGAGCTAGCACAGACCCCGCCCAACCTTCCCGGCCCAGCCTTCACCATGACCTTTCCCATCCCCGGCTGACAGCTAACCTGCCCAAGTGCACACACTCACCTTTGACTTTCCCTGTCCCAGTCCTGACCCCTGTCCATCCTCAATTTCTACCTTGACCCAGCCCCTCCCCACCTGTCCTCCCTGAGACCTTCCCTAGCCTGACCTGACATCTGTTGGTTTTTCCCAGCTCTTGCCCCAACTTTGACCTGCCATCGCTTTTACTTCCACCTTTCAGTGTCCTCCTCTTGACCCTTTGAGCTTCCCCAGTCCCTGCCTCAACTCAAGACTTCCCAATCCCTGTCCTGACCTCTGATCTCCCTGAACATTTTGTCCTGACTCCTAAACTTCCCTAACCCCTGCCTCAACCCTGGGAGGCACAAACCTGTGGTTCAATTCTGGATCTTTCGTCTGGCAAGAAATATCCCCTCTCTAGACCTCAGTTTCTCTGTCTGCAACATGAGCATGCTAATAGCCTCACAGGTTGGTTGTGAGGACAGACTCACATCATGTGAAGGATTCAGCACAGGGTCAGGCATGCACAGGTGCTTGGTGTGAGGGGCCTGGTTATTTCACTTGTCACCTGGCCTTGCTGGGCAAGGGTCTGCCCAGGACTCCTCTCTGACTTCCCTGTTTTCTGGTCAGGCTTCTGCCAACTGTACCTGAATGAGAAGGACTACCCGCCTGGCTATGCCTTCGACGTGGAGGCCATGAACTTTCCAAGTAGTGGCCTGTGCTTTGCGGGACTTGTATCCATGATAGACCCACCCCGGGCCACCGTCCCTGATGCTGTGCTCAAGTGCCGCACAGCAGGCATCCGGGTATGCAACCAGGGAGAGGAGCAGGCAGGGGTGAGAACAGAGGACAGCAGTATTTGGGGGTGAGGAACCCTGTGACAGAGAACTCCCTGAAAGTGGTCTGAACCAAAAAAGGAATCTATCGATTCATGAAACGGAAAAGTTCTGGGGACTGAAGTGTCAGGTATAGCTGGATCTAGGAGTTGAGTGTCATTAGGAATTTGCCTTTCTCCATGGCTCGGTTCTACTTTTCTCTCTGATGGCTTTATTCTCAAGGGACTCGACTAGTCCCTTTATTTTGGTCGAGAAAAATGACCACCCCCAGAAGCTCAACCTACATCCCACCTGTTTAGCCACCCCACAGAAAAAAGAGTGCCTCTTCTGCTGTTGTCCCAGATTGGGTCACATGTTCCTCTCTGAACCAGTCACATGGCTGGGGGGGGGTACCTTGGTTGACCAGGTCTGGGCTTGCCCATTCTTGGCCAGAGACCTCACTTCAACCCTGGTTCCTGAAGACAGATCGAGAGCTGGGGAGCCAAGGCTGGGCAAACAACACCCACGTCCTCCCCTTGGTCTCTAAGGCCTATGAGAGCTGGGCTCTAAGCTTATTCCTTAGCCCCCCACCTCTCGTTTACTGCTCTGCAGTCATGCTGGCCTCCCCGCTGCTCTGCCAACAGTTCAGGTGCGTTCGCACCTCAGGGTCTTCACATTGGCTGTTCCCACTGCCAGGAACACTCTTCCCTCCATTTTTTCTCTTTTTTTTTTTTTAAAGATTTTATTTATTTATTCATGAGAGACAGAGAGAGAGAGAGAGACAGAGGCAGAGGGAGAAGCAGAGGCAGAGGGAGCCCGATGCAGGACTCGATCCCAGGACCCTGGGATCATGACCTGAGCCAAAGGCAGACGCTTAACCGACTGAGCCACCCAGGCGTCCCTCTTCCCTCCCTTTTTTATGTGGCCAACTCTCTCGCCTCTTTCAGGCCTCTGCTCAGATGTCACCTTCTCAACGAAGCTTTCCCAGGACACACTTAAAATCGACACCTCTGGGGCGCCTGGGTGGCTCAGTTGGTTAAGCGACTGCCTTCAGCTCAGGTCATGATCCTGGAGTTCCAGGATCGAGTTCCGCATCGGGCTCCCTGCTCGGCAGGGAGTCTGCTTCTCCCTCTGACCCTCCTCCCTCTCATGCTCTCTGTCTCTCATTCTCTCTCTCAAATAAATAAATAAAATCTTAAAAAAAAAAAAATCGACACCTCTTTTTCCACCCAACATTTGCCATCCCCTTTACTCAGCTTAATTTTCCTCTCTCCTAACGGGCTGTATCATTTGTCCCCTTAGTTTGCGTCTCTTCTGTCTCCCGCGCTAGAGGGTTGGCTCCATGAGAACAGAGATTTTCGTCTGTTTTGTCCCTGACATTCAGTGGTTGAATAAGCGAACGGGTCTATCAGTAGATGGCCAGCAGGGAGGACGAGGAGAGTGGGCTGCACTGAAGGCATCAAGGGTCTGATGGTCCCCTCCCCAACAGGTGATCATGGTGACGGGTGACCACCCCATCACGGCCAAGGCCATTGCGGCCAGTGTGGGTATCATTTCGGAAGGCAGCGAGACGGTGGAGGACATCGCCGCCCGCCTCCGTGTACCTGTGGACCAAGTCAATAGGAAGTAAGCCCCTGCCGCCCTCGCCGTGGTTCTTCCCACAGCCTGCGCAGACTGAGGCCCTGGTGATCCCCCCCCAGGGATGCCCGTGCCTGCGTCATCAATGGCATGCAGCTGAAGGACATGGACCCGTCAGAGCTGGTTGAGACCCTGCGTACCCACCCTGAGATGGTGTTTGCTCGTACCAGTCCCCAGCAGAAGCTGGTGATTGTGGAGAGCTGCCAGCGACTGGTACGACTCTGATGAGGGAGGCGGGCCAGTGGGCTGGGCTGGCCTGGGGGTGGGCCTACCCCTGACCACCCTGCCCCCCCCCCGCAGGGGGCCATCGTGGCTGTGACGGGGGATGGTGTCAACGACTCCCCAGCCTTGAAGAAGGCCGACATCGGCGTGGCCATGGGCATTGCCGGCTCGGACGCTGCCAAAAACGCGGCGGACATGATCCTGCTGGATGACAACTTTGCCTCCATTGTGACAGGCGTGGAGCAGGGTCCGAGCAGGGGCAGAGACCGGGGAGGGGAGAGGGGTGGCGGCGTGGGCACAGGAGGAAGCGGGCAGCGAGGAGGCTGAGGCTCTCCCCGCCCCACCCCCCTGCAGGCCGGCTGATCTTTGATAACCTGAAAAAGTCCATCGCCTACACCCTGACCAAGAACATCCCCGAGCTGACGCCGTACCTCATCTACATCACTGTCAGCGTGCCCCTGCCCCTCGGCTGCATCACCATCCTCTTCATAGAGCTCTGCACCGACATCGTGAGTCTCCAGCCCCGCCGACAGCCGTGATGGATGGGGCCCGCAGACGCTCTTGGACACAGGGTGCAAAGGCAGACAGATGGGGACGCGCAGGCGGGCAGGCGGGTGGTCCCAGGCAGAAGTACAGACGTGGCCGCACAGGTGGACCCTCAGGTCGGCTTAGACCTGCGGACTCAGAGAAGGACCCTCAGACACACACACACACACACACACACACACACACACACATCTGGCGACGCTTGCATCGTGTCTTCTCTGGATCAGGCAGACACTACCTCCCTTAACTCTGTCCTCATGAACACTCTATGGGTGGGGCTTTATTCATTTATCGTCCCCATTTTACCAATGAGCGAACTGAGGCCCAGACAGGTTGAGCGGCTTGTCCCAGGTCACACAGCCAGTAAGTGGCATGCTGGGTTTGGAGCCCAGGCAGTCCAGGGCCCTGGGGCCTCTGCTCTTGACCGGTCTACTCTGAGGCCGTTCCGCCGTGACGGACGGATGGGGTGGGGGATAGGGAGGACCTGGGGGCACAGAGACAGAAGAGCTGCAGAGAGAGTGACAGGGAGAGATGGGTGACACAGGGACACAAAAGCAGAGACAGCCACAGAGAAAGAGACCAGAGACAGGGACACAAAAACAGTAAGGGGGGGAGGGGGGTGGGGAGGGGAGGTACATGCAGATGTTCCAATGGAGATGGACGGCAGGTCAGATGTGGACACAGCTGTGGACGGACATGGCACCACGGCCTCGGAGGGCCAGCTGATCCATGCTATCCGGGCAGTTGTGCCTGCACGGTCACCTGCCTCCCAACCTCAGTCCTGTCTCTGTCCACTGGGGCGGTGGGGGGAGGGAGGGGAGCCTCCTGGCACGTAGGGGACGGGCAAACCCTTAACCCTGGCTCCTTCCGCTCCTGGCCAGTTCCCGTCCGTGTCCCTGGCATATGAGAAGGCCGAGAGTGACATCATGCATCTGCGTCCACGGAACCCAAAGCGCGACCGCTTGGTCAATGAGCCCCTGGCTGCCTACTCCTACTTCCAGATAGGTGAGTGCCTGTGGGGCCGGGGAGCCCCAGGTTCCCTGCAGGGCTGCTCGCCTGCCTTGGCATCTCTCACAGGGGCTCTGGCTCGTGCTGGATCCCCGAGTTGGCATTTGATCCTGGGTCTCTGCTGTTCTCTGAGTCCGAGTCTGCTGTGATCCCCGTGTCCCTTCTCTGTCTCTCGGCATGTCTCTGTCTCTCTCTGTGCCTTGTCTCTTGCGTCCCTATTGATCTCTCTTGGGATCCTTGTCTCTGTCTCTCCATGTCCGTCACTCACTGTGTACTTGTGCCCTTGACCCTCTCTCTGCGGGTAGCTCTCTGTGTCCCTATCTTTCCATGTCCTTGTCTCTTTCCATGTCCCTGTCTAGGTCTCCATTTTTGTCTCCCCGTGTCACCTTGCCTGTCCCCCAGGTGCCATCCAGTCATTTGCTGGCTTCACTGACTACTTTACGGCCATGGCCCAGGAGGGCTGGTTCCCACTGCTGTGTGTGGGGCTGCGACCATACTGGGAGAACCACCACCTACAAGATCTGCAGGACAGCTACGGCCAGGAGTGGGTGAGCCCCGGCCTCCCGCCCCCGGCCCGTGGCTCCCTCATTCCCAGTGCCACCTTCCCTGTGGGTGGCCCACACTCAGTCGTCCGCATGTGACGGAGCTCAACTGGAGCATCCCAGGTCCCCGGACTCTGCCGGTTCTGGGGCCTCTCCCACCACCATCTTGAGCTCCACACTCCTGCTGCTCACCCTGTTCCGCAAAGGCCCTTCTGGCCCACGTCACTTATCTTGGCCATCTGCCCGGGCACCGGAGTCGCTGGACCTTGCAAATTCTGCCCTAGCAGTCCGACTCCCTTCTCCCAGGTGCCTTCCTGTGGGTGTGCGGGAAAGCCTGCCTCCCTCCTTCCTCGTGAAAGCGACTGGCCTGAGCTACCATTTGCCCAGGCGCTGACATCTAATCTCTGCAAGGCCAAGATCTCCAGCCGCCCCCCACCCCCCGGGGTCCTGCAAACCTGGCAGTCGGCGTCTCTCTCTTCTCCCCGACTCCATCCTCTGCTGGGAGGGGCTACGGCCGCAGGCCCTCCCCATCCGGGCTCAGGCCGCTTCTGCTCCCCTCCGGCCCGCAGACGTTCGGGCAGCGCCTCTACCAGCAGTATACCTGCTACACCGTGTTCTTCATCAGCATCGAGATGTGCCAGATCGCCGACGTCCTCATCCGCAAGACGCGCCGCCTCTCCGCCTTCCAGCAGGGCTTCTTCAGGTGTCCCCACGGCCCCGCCCCGCCCCGCCCCGCCCGGCCCCAGCCCCGCTGCAGCTCCCACCGGATCCCCACGAGGGCTCACTGCAGGCAGCAAACGCGCCGGCGCCAGGTGCTGCCGGGCCTCGTCCACCGCGGGCCGGCAGCTCCCGCCACCTGCCTCCCCGCCCCGGCCCCTCCGTTTTCATCCACCAAAGGGGAGATGTGACAGGACCCCCGTCCACTGTCAAAGCGTCCCCGCTCCTCACGGCCTGGCCTTGTTCTGCGCCCGCCGGCCTGAGCCTGTCCCACCCCGCCTGCCCGCAGGAACAGGATCCTGGTGATCGCCATCGTGTTCCAGGTCTGCATCGGCTGCTTCCTGTGCTACTGCCCCGGAATGCCCAACATCTTCAACTTCATGCCCATCCGGTGAGGGGCCGGGAGCTGTGAGTAGAGGGACGGGCACAGGGACACAGACTTGAGGGTAGCCTTCACCTTGTCGTCTCGCCTGGGCCTTCAGGTACCAGTGGTGGTTGGTCCCCATGCCCTTTGGCCTCCTCATCTTCGTCTATGATGAGCTTCGGAAACTGGGAGTTCGCTGTTGCCCAGGGAGTGAGTGTGGAGACCGAGGGCCTGGGGGTGGGGGCTGGACCATCCTCAGAACAGCTGCCCTGACCTTTGACCTCCAAGCCCTTGACCCTCCATCTCAAGCCTCTGTTGATTCGTACCTCTGAGCCCCTGGTGCCCGTGACCCACATCCCGCAGCCCTGAGTCTCCTTTCTCTCCCTCCCAGGCTGGTGGGATCAGGAGCTCTACTATTAGAGGGCCTGCCGCCTTCAAGCCATCCTTGCAAACCCCACAGCAGAGGTGGGGGGCATGGGACCCTCTGGGCAGCCACCTGAACATCTAAGCAATCAAGCCCCAGCACCATCTGTGTCTGCTCCCACAGCCCACGGCACCCCAACCTTGGAGAGACCTCCCCACTCCCCTTCCCCATCCACAGGGAGCACCCCCCCCCCCCGCCCCGGCAGAGCCGTCCCTGGGCCTGGTGCTCTGAGCTGGGCAGGGGGGCCTGGGCAGGGGGCGGGAGCTGGGCTCCTGTGAGCCAGGTCTGTCCTTCGCACTCTAGGTGGGCAGGAGGGCTGCCTGTGGGACCTTCAAACACGCTTGTGCTGAGTGACAGAAATAAACTAGCTCACACCGACGATGCTTTTATTTGGTGCCAGGTCCTGTCCTAAGTGTCTTTCCTGATCCCCTTTGATCTCCCACAGTCCTACAGCTTGTTCAGGGCTGTATCTCAGTTCCTCGAACACAGCCTCGTGCATCGTAGGTACGCAACGAAACCTTCCTCGGGGGAATGAGCCTGGGGTGACGGCATTCCCAGTCACCCCCAGGAGCGGGGCCTTCACCGCCCCACTCGCCGACACCACCTCTGGGCTCCCTCCCCAGCACGTTCTTGATCTCCCCTTGGCAGGCTCCTTGACACACGGTGTCAGAATCTTTCCTACCTCAAGCTGCCCCCCCACCCTGCCTCCCCCTTCGCAGGTGTCTCCACTCTGGTCCCACCAGTTTGCTCCTCTGTTGCAGTGGGACTGAGTCTAGAGGCTGAAGTCCCGGTCCCCTCCTCACACCCCTCTCCCCTGAAAAGTTAACTCCCCAACTGCTGGAAACTGCCTGACACTCCCCCCACCTCCCACCCCTCCCCAGCCCCTTCCTCACCTCTCTTCCTTAGTATGAGCCTCTCTGGCGGGACCCCTCCCACCACAGCCCCCCTCTGCTGCCCCCATGGCCTCAGTTCTGTCTCTGCAGTGGCTCTCCACCCTGTATGACCCAGGGACCCCCAGTAGCCTCTGCATCATCCTCCAAACCTGCTCCTTCCACTGTCCCATCAGTGTGGTTCCTTCTCCCTGGGAAACGTGGTGAGCCCTAAACTCCCTGTCTTTCCCTGGCCCAGGATCCTCCATGGTTTGTCCTGCCCCTGCTGACTGCCAGTTTCACAAGCCACCTCGATCTTATTCCAGCCAATTCTTGTTTCACTGGAAAAGTCAGGCCTGCTCTCTCACCGCATAGGCTCTGCCACCGGCTTTTCCTCCTGCCCCAACAGCTCACATCTCCTGTCTTCCAGGCCCTCCAGGTTGGGCCCCCAGCCCGTCCCTGACCTGGTCTGTGCTCCCTCCACTTCAACCCTAACTGCTCTGGTCTCCCTGAGCCCCACATAAGCTGGGATTATTCCACATAGTTGGTCACCAGCAGGGGCTCCAGCTCAGAGTCCCTGCTCAGCAAATAGTTGTTGAAATCACTTCTGCAACCCTCACTTGTCCCCATACTGGTCCGAGGCTAGGCGGGCATGGGACGGAGGTGTGGGAGCACGATCCTGTCACAGGCCACCCCGCTGGGCTGGGGGAGTGCCCATATACTCCATACTCTGTGCCCAACCAATTGCTTGCCTCTCCACCTCTCCCCCAAGACACCTGTGGACCCAGTCTCCTCAAGGGACAATGAAAAGGGGGCAGGGCTAGGTGGTGGCTGCCCCACCTGAGGGCAAACACTCCCTCGGCACACACGCCAAGACTCACAGCTGTTTGTGCTCCTGCTTTCCCAGTCCAGGGTTAAGCAACAGTATGGCAGGACCTGACAGCCTGGAGGGAAGGAGGGAGGGGGCACTTGCCCTATCCCTCGCCTTGGGGGATCCACTGGGGCTGGGGAGCACCTTCCTGGGTGGGCAGGGTTTGCATCAAGGTGGCGCATAAACGTGATATTCAAAGCCCCGCTTCTGACACGTGCCCCTCAGACGGGAGGGAATGGGGCAGGCAGCTGGCTCCACTAGGACAGGGAAGGGCTAGGGTGGTGTTGGAGATGGAGAGCCCGTGAACTTGACAGGTTGATCTGTTGACCTTCAGTCCTTGGAATGTGCATCCTCACCCCTCCCCCCGGCTTGCTGGACATAGCCTTGAGAGAGTGATGTGGGTCTACTAGATGGTATATGTGACTAAACCCAGTTATGGCCCTGATCTAAACTTTTAAGATTTGGCAGGTGGGTGCAGAGATCTAGGTGTCTTACAACCCAATGAAAAGCCTTGAAAAGTTCCCTTGCTTCTTAAACCTGCCACCTACCAACCTGGAGTGGCCACCTTTCCCCTTTCTGCTCTCTGCATAAGGGGGCTGGTTTCTGATTGCACCTGAGAAGCTCCCAAGGAGTTTGTGAAACAAGAGGTAGGGAGGGCAGCATCCAGGACAATATCCAAATTGGTGGGCTCAGCTACTGTGCCAGTCAGCTGCAGCAGTGTCTGGACCCCACCCTGAGAAGACTCTAGCCAGGATCTGATGTGAGGACTACAGAACCAAACCAAAGCACTGAAGAGCTCAGAATCATAAGGCTACCCTCAAGAGCAAAACCCAGAGTTCAGGTGGTTGGACCGTTCAATATGCAATGGGGAGTCTGAGATGGTTGTAGACAAGGAGGGTGCACTAATAAAACTGGGATTTCAGACAGATCCCCCTGGCTGCCATACGAAGGGTGGATCAGAAGGGGAGATTGGGCTGAGAGCCTAGGAGGTAAGCAGCCAGAGAAGGGCCATGTTAAGGCTGCGAGGAAAAGCCTCCCAAGAACTATATTTCTGGATTCTAGCTTCCTTCTATCACCTGTTACCCGAGGGCCCTGGTCTCTGCAACTGCTCAATGATGATCTATCTAGGTGGCTCAGTCGTTAAGCGTCTGCCTTTGGCTCAGGTCATGATCCCAGGGTCCTGGTCCTGGGATTGAGCCCCACATCGGGCTCCCTGCTTCTCCCTCTCCCACTCCCCCTGCTTATGTTCCCTCTCTTGCTGTGTCTCTCTCTGTCAAATAAATAAATAAAATCTTAAAAAAAAGAAAGAAAGAAAGAAAGAAAGAAAGGATGATCTATCTACTCCAAGCCCTTCTATCCTGGGAAAATGAGGAGCCCAGGAACTGCTGCAGAACACAGAACAAACCAGTTCTGTGTTGGCCAGTTTCCCAGACTGTCTACCTGGCTTCAAAGCCAGAACAAGGGCCTCTAGAACCCGGTGAACGTGGTATTGGTAGACAGTTCCAGAGAGAGAGAGAGATGGAGGCAGAAGCAATGTTCCAAATACTGTTTACTTCACTGAAACCTGGAGGCGGGGAAAGGGTATGTGAATGTCTGGGGCACCAAGCCTAGGAGTGCACGTTGACAACGGCGACATAGAGGGCCAGGGTGCTGAGGGCCAGCAGCCCTGTCACCACTGCCCGGGCCAGCAGTGCTGTCCAGCTGCCCAGGGAACAGAGGTGGACGAAGGTCCTGTGGGGAAACATCACCATGAGAGAAGGAGAACAGATAACCCACCCCCATTTGGACCCACCCTCAAACCCCGCGCAGCTCACTCCATGACAAAGGCCTTGTAGACGCTGAGGAACATCAGCAGGAGTACTGCTGGCCGAAAAGTGTGGTACAGGTCGTAGCGTGTTATCATCCAGACCTGGGCAGATGCGACGATGTAATGGACCTGCAGGGAGGCAGGAAGTCAGGGCCAGGCCTCGGGGGGAGAGCACAGCCGCTGGACAAAGGTGTGTGGGAGAGCAGGACTGCGTACCAGACTGATGTTGGAGTCAATGCTCATCTGGATGTACTTCCAGTCAAACTCAATGCCCCGGGCTCCAACCCACAGGGGGATGCAGCTAAGGAAGGCAAAGGGAGGGATTCTCCAGCACCCAAACACCCTCAGCACTCAGAATCTGAGCCCCCGCCCTCCAGCACCTCCCTAGAACCCAGGTGTCCTTTCTCAGGAATCTGGGCTCCAGGCTGCTGCACACACCGGGACATAATGAGCTCGGCGGTGGCCCAGCCCAGGGCAGCAACCATGATCTTGTACTCCCCCTTGCCTGCATTCCGGGACATGACAAGGTTTAGGCCTATCAGGTCTGCCACATCCACGCTGGCCTTCATGAACTCCTGTGGGTCAGGTTGAGGCTTGAGTGAGCACAGATGCCAGGGGGCCCCATTCCTGCACTCCCTCCCCCTTCCTTGCCCCACTCACCCCAATGAAGTCATAGATGCCGCCTTCCCAGGTGGGAAAAAAAGTGGCCAGGAACAGCATCTGAGAACAGAAAACAGAGATCACTGCAAGGAGAGGAGAATAAACCAAGTGGATTATGTAGGAAGTCAGTGTGTATGTGGAAGGTAAGGCTCTGGGGTTCAGGGGAACCCTTGCGGAGAGGGACCACCAGAAGGGGGACGAGATTACAGGATCAGGGGAGAGAGACGGTTGGGGTCTGAAGTCTGGGTTCTGTGGTGATCCCAGGCGATCGGGTCAGGCATGGAAGTGCCAGAGCGAGCTACCCCAGCAGGGTTAGCAGCACAGTGTGGACCCTGGCTTACTTCGCGCCTCCTCAAAGTACAAAACGCTCCACCACACAACTGAGTTTTCCCAATTTTACTAAAGTGCTATACAAAAGTTGCTTGGAGACCTCTCCCCAAGTTCCGCCCCTTCCGGAGCACGTCTTCCAGGGTATTCCCGGGGGGGCCCGGGCGCCCTCACCTTGCACAGCTGCACGAAGAGGTAGGTGACCCCGGCCTGCACGCACTTCCAGAAGGCGTTGTACTCAGACCTGCAGGAGCGGGCGGTGAGGCTTAGCCCGGGCCCGCGCCCTCCCGCCCGCGGGCGCCCCGCACTCACAGGCCGCTGCACTTGTAGGTGATGAAGTAGGGGAAGTAGGCCAGGGCGAAGCAGTTTCCGAAGTGGAACAGGGTCATGGCGCCGGCCGCCCGGGACCCGCCGGAGCGCGGGTCTCACCCTCCGCCTGCCTGGCGCCGGAGCCCGGGGCCTGGCGCCCACCTG